TCAGGACCATTTCTTCTTGTTGATCATTAAGGCCTATTTTCCATCCTCATGGTTACACATACTAAAAACAATAATGGGCCGTTACACACTCACACCCAAACATAACCCTTTGCACATTTAACCTTTAATCTCAGGGCCACAGCTAACTGCACATTGCTGCCATTTTTTCATAGCTACAGGACATTTCAAAGCTTGCTGAAATATTAGAAGACAGCCTGAGTTGGGAGGACAGCACTTTTTTTTGTTTTTCGTGGCTTTCTCCCTGTGTATATTTACCCAAAGATGAAACAAAAGCCAACTGAAAACCAAAGAAATGAAAAAATGTTAAAATGCCACTGCTCTGAGCGAGTCACAAGGCTTCTGTTCTGCTTCCGCTGCCAAACTGACAACAGACTGCAAAGCAAATGTCACGCAGTGTGCTCCACCGTTTTAATAGTTGTGAAAGCCTTCAAATTCCACTAGGCAGCCTTGAATTCAGAAATCTGTGTGCAGAGGTCTTAATAAAATGTGACATTACAAACTAACCCTTATTACTCTTTTGTCAGAATGAACAGACTCTGCAAGTAAGCAGTTCTTAAGTATCGTACCTATTCCTATACCTAATCCTACTCCTACATATTTTTACATATTCTCACAGTATTTTTTATATGTACTTCTACACATACTCTTACATATCTGCTTTGCAGATTCAGTTTGACATTAAATTTGGGGCTTTAAAGTTTTATGTTCTAGGCCATGTGGGTCATCTATTTTAAGCTATTGTGAAACATAAGTCCAGCCCAGACCTGCAGCTTTGATCTACACTTTGTGTTCCTAGTTCAAAATCTACTCTTTCTGAATAAGAAAAATGAGATCAGAAGGACTTGGTGAGGCAGAAAAAAAGGAGTGGGCATGGCAGTGAGTAACAGGAATTGGCAAAAAAGAACTGGATCTTCTGCAGTGATCACACTCTCATTCCTTGTGCTTAGCATATTGGAAATGGGCTCGCTGCCCAGAACAAAATATTGGACAAATCATGCTGCTCCAAGTGTGGATGAGGCACACAGCACCACTTTGTGTGAGTAGATGAGCATATGTGTTAAGAGTAAGTATACTCCACGCAAACCTAAAACTGTCCATGAAGACATGATCATCTTCACTTGAGATGAAAAAGACTTACATTAGTGACACACAGTCTCCCACGAAACAAGACCTGGCAAAAGTTCAATGAAACTGAGCCAAGGATCAGAGTGCAATCGTCTGATCTACTTTCTCTCTTTAAGCACTTTAACCAGTGTATGACTTTCATCCAGAGCCACATAATATGAGAGTCAAACTAAACTGATTCAGACAGAAAACAAAGTTGTATGACAGCAGGGGGACGCTTCAAACATTGGTTTAATTTCCGTGGGTGGATGCCTCACACACCAGAGCAGCTCCACACTTCGCACCATCAGGATTAATGCCCCCTCAGGCTTAAATCAAATGTGAAATAGGATTTCATTAACTTCCCTTCGGTGTTAAAGACATTTATCACTTTATCATCATAAGCTAATTTAAATCAGTAAAATTTGGTCAAAAAGCAAATTTTTTTTCAATTATGACATAATGTTAGAGAGCTATTGGTACTGGACCTTGAAAACTCCAGTTGATCCTTGATTCACTGTGGTTTGCAAAAATGTAGATAAAAGGAAATAAATGGAAAATGTCTCGTCGGACAATTTCTCACAATTTCACATTGCTTCGGCCCGACAAGTCCTCCAAAATGTTAAGAACAACAGACAACAACATTATCTAAACCAATGTTTTCACAGTCTAGACATTAATTTCAGAAACCTCCACATCCAAGATGCATCACAGTTAAAGTGATTTATCATACTAACCATACATAAGCTTTAAAAGGTTTAGTTAGATGTAAGAAAAAATATTTAGAATAGGTCTTAATGACTACTTTATGGGAATTGAGGGAAATAACTAAATGGTTATTGTTACCAACGACCACACATACCTGCTGGCTGCAGGCTGAAAAAAGGGGAAATAAACAGGAAATTCATATAGTAAAGGGGACATCTTATGTGTTTTAATAAAGGTTGGGTTCATTGGGCATATATTTGGCTGTATAAGGAAAAAACAAAACACCTAACTTCAAGGTGTAATTATGCTGCATCCGCTGTACCCCTGGAGTTCTAAAATATTGCTTTTTTGACTCCTTATGCAGGGCAAATTCTTATGGGTTGCTATATTATTCTGTCTGTGGTGTGGTCTTAGTTCAACACACGATTTGCTGCAAAAACGAAAATGAGGGCTGTGATTTTTCTCTTTATTTTTACTGTAGTCAAGTAGAAAAGTATCTTGGCATGAAACTGATAGCCAAGTATTTATCCCTTGATTCAGAAGAGGTAGCATGAATTTGGTTTTCTGTGTGCTAGTATGAGCTTCAAGGGTTACGGAGTAATACTGATCCAAAAAAATGTTAGCTCTTACATTAGACAGCACTAGGTTATAGTCACTCCATGATCTAAAACCAGAAACTCCTAATATATATTTGAAAATACAAGTTCTAAAATGACCATTAAAAGCTGCCTCTCTGTGGCCTTTTGACCCAGACATGCAATGATCATTTCATTAAGACTTCAGAATCAAAACTTGAAATGTTTCTTTCCAACTCAAATGTCTCATCAGTCCATCTGTTTACACACAACTCCACTTACTGTTACAGATTGTGATCATTCCATAATAGCAGAGTGTCTCTGGGATTTTGTTTTCACCATAGCACTTTGCTGGATCAATAATATAAAATAGTGCGAGGTAAGTCGTCTTTGCACAAAGCTCCCGTCCTCTCGTTCAATTAAAGGGAGCAGAGATGGGCTGGCAAACAGAAGTCCTGGAAGTGTTTCAGAAAACAGCCAAAGATGTGAGTTATCTGACAATAGTCACCACCTCAGGGTTTTTTTAAACTTGTTCTTCCATGAAAAAATACTTCACATTATAGTTTCATAATGGTATTAATAAGAATACAAAGGAAAAAACAAACTGTTGTTCCTAAATGGAGTTATTGTATGATACTTTGTGGCCCTTTCCTTGCCTGCTCTCTCTCTAGCGTGAGAGCAGACACGGGCAGTAAAGAGATGCACATATTATAATAGCCACTTAAATGGAGTCTCCTGTAACCCACAGCTGCTGCCTACTTTCAATTTATGCTGCCCCCACCCATCCCCCTGCCCTCAAGCTTTTTCAGATTGTCCTGCTGCTGGTGGTCGGGCTTCCTCCCTAAGGGCACCAAGGGCTGTTAGGCCACCATTAGTCCTGCTAATGGGCCTGACAACTGCACCACATCCTCAGCATTTGGACATTCCCTGTCTGAGATATCGATATCGACCACTTTAGCGAAAATGGAGAGCACGGCCAGGGGGTTAGAGTCAATTACATATGTACATCCAGGCATGAATGTCGAATGCACACACTGAAACAAATGTATACAAGAAGATAAGTGTAGCAGGGGCACAAATAAGTGGTGGCACAACATGTACTTTTAAATTACAGGAGGAAATTCTGGTCAAGTTTAAACTGCTTATCTTTTATTTACTTCAAGAGACAAAGTCACTAAGTTGGACTAAATTTCATTCCAGTCTGGTTTAGCGAGGCCTGGTAATCATTCATGAGAAATCTACATCACATTGATTTCCAGGCTGCAAGTTGTTAATAATGTTAAAGGTCAGTCTGCTGATGCAAAGCATTGAGTCATTATTGTACAAACTCAAGTATTCTAAGGATGTGCCAGAGCAGTGGCATGTAAAGATCAAAATGGCTGCAATGTTTGCTGCTGATTTCTTGTGGAGATTTTCCCGCCAGCCCCCTGGTAAAATCTCTGGAACATCAAATTCACACAAATGTGTCTGCAAGTATTTTGGAGCATCGGTGAGTGTGAATGAGTATGTGGGACTCCGGTGTCCATCCTCCCTGAAATAGGAGTCAAATCACTCCTGCTTATGTACTTTCAGCTAGACTCAGATCATCGGTGTACATCTTACAACATTTTATCAAGACGTATTCAATCACATACAAGCATTCAACACATTTCTATGTGGACACTTTACTCCACCTGCAAGGACCTGCACAGGGTGACACACTGAGTTCAGCAAAGGTTATTTCCACAGTTTAGCAATGGGACAACGTCTGTTAAATTCATATATTATAAATAAGAAATGTGATTTTACTTTCAGGAGGAGGCAGAGATGGATTAACAGACTGTGGCTGCAGAAGTGCAGCCCAGTTTAAAAGGAAAACACGGAAAATTTGCAAAGTCTGCAATTGTGCTGATAAACAAGATGTGCATTTTAGTCCTCTGCTCAATTTAAAATGAATGTATTTTCATGAAATGTTTAATTTGCGTGTCCACCTTGTATATATACAGCTGAGAAGATTTGACTCAGTAGGCAGTATTCTAGGAAAAAAATCATTTTAATGTAATATAGTATTCAAGAGTAATGGTGATTTCCTCACTTTAATCTTGTACTTTTCAATGGCTAATATGTTGCAATATTTGAGTTTTTCAACTAATATACTATCATATATTAGTAAGAACTCAAATGATTTAGCCATGTTATTAATAACAGGGTAGTTCTCATTTTATTATTGCTTGCTACAGTTGAATGTCTTATAAGCTGCAAGGTTTCAGTTTTATACCTAGTTTATCTGTCAGCATAACCTAAATGCGCATTACAAGTACAGTATATTGTTTCAATATATGACACTTTTGATTAAATATTTTTTTATGCATTAAAAAACACATAATCTTGAGAGTGAAACTCTTTGTATGAGGGTACTGATAAAAGTACTTATTCTAAATTATAGAAAATAAGTTGCAAATTTAAACATGGAAAAAGATAACAGAAGCCAGGCTCGATTAAGTACAGATGAGTGACTATTAATTTATCTTTGACAATGGAAGACAGATATTTATTTATTTGTTCGTTTGTTTGTTTATTTATAAATAATTATTTTATTGTCATCATTCTTACCTGCAGCCTCCGTCTTCGGATGATCCCAGAATCATCCATGGCGCGTGCCCGGTGTTACACCTGTTGGCAGGTAGGGTGGCTCCAGATGGCCAGTCTCGGGCCAACTCTCGCGTGACTTTCACCGAACCAGCACGCTTGGCAATTTACCATCACATCAAATCACTCCGCAGGGTGTCACACCATCATCAGCCGTGGAAGACGACGTAAAGGGATCCCATAGTTTTCTGGAGACCAACGTGTTGCTGTCAGAGCCCGACAGGCCTATATTGTCAATAACAAGCAGATAGAGAGCTATAGCACTGTTTTCCCCTTGGTTTAAAAACAAAAATAAGAATAAATGAACAAATAAAACTCACCAGAATTCACCCAGAGCGGGAAAAGTAGCGCTCCTGCATTGGACCCCAGCAGACCTCCCCTGCTGTCCAGTAAGGGCCACTGACAGGGCCCCTCTGAGGTAGTAACTGTTGAATAAGCGGGGGGGGGGGTTGTAGGTTGAGATCAGACTGTTTTTCGCATGAACTCAAATCCAACTGCGAGATAGCGGAGAAAAACACCCAGAGCCCAGAACACCAGGCTTTACTTATCACCGCACAGATTAGAACGAGCAAACAAGTTGGGAGAGATTCTCACCTCCGGACACCCACTGAATAGCGTGGAGTCCCACGCAAAAAAAAACAATTACTCAATATTGTTTGTTGTGCGGTGTGTTTTCTGGGAGCCGAAATTAACTCAACCAGACGCGGTCATCCTCTGAAATTAGACAAGCGCATCTTAACGATCCTCAGGTTGACGCACAGCTAGAGTCCTCTACATGTTACAAACGTCCCTCAAACAGCCAGACCTCATTCAGAGAAGCGCTCCGGAGACACCGGGGCGCGCATGTGGACAGAGTGGTGGCTTTCGCGCACGACCGACGCACGTTAATCTACAAACCCCCCCCCCGTTATATGTCACACTCACGCTGTCAGAGCATCTGTGCATTTAAAAAAGAAAAGAAAAAGGCACGACCGGTGAGAATATGTTGGTCCATCCAGCGAGAAAACACGTCCAACGCGCAAACAGATACACAATCACACGCATGGGCGACGCAAAGCCTCGCGTTTATCGTCTCTGACGTGGGTCTGTCCCTCCTGTCAGATGCTCAATGTGTCCAATTGGGTGTTCATGGGTGGAATAAGGCTTTTTCTGGTTGAAATTGATCCGCGGCTGCCACACAAGCATCGCTCCATCCTGGGTTTTCTGCCACCCACTTCCTACTACCAAATGACGTTTAACCCGTCAACGACCGGAATACACGTGCGAGATGTGGTGGAGGATGCCTCTGCTCTTCATTACGATGTGATGAAGAGTATCACAAAATATATACGATATTGATCTGATTTGCTTAAGGGGTTGTGAGAGATAAGACGCCACTGAGAATGATAACGATTCATACCTCACGGCATATTAATTCAGTTTCTAAAACATGTGATATTTTTTTAACGGCTCCTGCAATGCTGTGACGCGACTGGTTTGGTCCAATCCCGTTCCTTTAGATATAGTGTAATTCTAATGAGCCAGAAAGTCAACATTTATAGACACCTTCAGTGACAGTCGGAAACCTCTACACATTTTCTTGTCATTTATATAGGCTTATTGAGGAGTATTATCCAGGGTTCCTTTAAAGACAATTCAAATCTCCTATTTGGATATTGGGTCCTTTTTGATCAGTTCCCTATCAAGATGATCTCACACTGCTTCAGTAATGCTGAGCTTCACTTCTTGTGCCATTAGGCAAACCTCACCCTTTTACTTTAAGTATGGCTATACGGCTCCACAATACCAGCTCATTACTCAGATACACTTTCAAATGCTGTTCATCTGCTATAGATATTTTGCCTGTTATTCTCTTTACCCTCAATTCCTTCCCTATGCAGAGATTTGAGCAAATAGCGTTTTGGGAATACATTTGTTGCCACAGAAAATCTCTCTTACACAGGTGAAAATGTGCTATCTTTTGCATTTTTCATAGAAGAAGATAAGACAAAAATGCTTGCATGCAGTAAGTTGTCTCTTTTTTATGCCAAATTATTTATAGGTCAGCATTAAGTGGCTAAACAAACCGAAAACATCTCCATCTTGTACCCTCAGATACAAGGGCTGCATTGAAAATTTTCAAAAATAAAAAAAGAAGTTAAGAAACCATCCGAAACCTGAAGTCCTTTCCGAAGTCTTCTACATCAAAGCTTCACAGCAAAAAGTAGAGAGTTAAAATTTCAGGGTTAGACGTGTCAGAGTTAATTTTAACTCATTAAGTGTTTTTTTAACATTTAGCGATTTAAATGAAGTCCAGTGTTGGAGTTATTTCGCAGAGTTGATTGCATTGGTGTTGAATCAACTCTGCTGGGAGGAAAATAAGCTCCTCCCCTCCGTTTCAGAGTCTTCGTTTGATTTCAATCTGAACACGGCTCCATTTTGTTAATCTCCTGTTCTACACGGTAAGTGTCCAATTTACTAAATTTTTTGTCCAGCACTATTACATTGACAGAGTGAGTGACTTGACTTCTTCTTCTAATTACCACATAATTGAAAGGCAGCTGAATATGTCCATTTTGCAACAATTTTACACAATGTGTTAGCAATTAGCCCACGTGGTAGCTAGTAGCACTTACACCTGATATTATCATGGTAATTCTTACAAAACATATTTTGTCGGACCATATACTAAAATATACTTATATTTTTTGCCGTTTAAAATGATAATTTTGGCCTTATGAATGTAAGAGGTAATGACTATTAGCTTCCATGGAACATCAACGAGCCGAAGTCACGCGCCACAAATAGCCGAGGAACGTTACAGCGAGGTGAACGTTTGACCTATACCTTATTTTGCTTTGTCTAGGTTTATCCCATGCTTAAATAAAATGCTGATCCATGTAAAGTATGGTGACCTGCAAAAGTACGTGAAGTTGGAGGAGGTCGAAGGGCTGTTTGACTTTAATCAGTTTCATGAGAAAGGTTTGTTATTTATCAAACATCTGTGTAGGGCATGGGCATTATTCTTTTCGATGTATGTCTATTTCACACACATTTTACACATTTGTGGTTAGTAAAAAGAGTAACCCATTGTATTTTCATTAATATGTTTCATATTAATCGCATGATCAATATCAAGTAACTGTTAGTTTAAAAAATCCAGCTAATTACAGAATTAGGCTCTAAATCTTGCCTTGTTTTTTCAGTCATTGAACGATTTTGCCTGCCACCTGATGGCAAAGTGAGATACAAAGATGCAACAGATACTGAAGTTGACGAAGAAATATTCAGTGACCTCCTTAGACAAGGCAATGTGGTACTGACAGTTTTCTGCTATGATGGTGAGATACCAAAGCAAATTAAATCAACTGTTATACAGATTTTACCAAAGAATGTCACTGATGTCTATTGTCTCTCTTCAGAGTTCTCAGAATGGTCATCTGCTTCTGAGTCCGACTCGAGCTTCAACTCAAATGCATCAACATCAACCATACTATTGGATGAGATGCCACACAAGAAGCAAAAAACTGAGAATCCTAATAACTCAGTGTCTGCTAAGAATGTAACAATATTTTTTGTCTGCCTCTAAATTCTGTTTTGTATGCCCAGACATGTTTTGTCATATTTTGTTAATCTGCATATTGCATATTTTCCTGTTTTTCCTGTTTTTCCTGTATTTATTTATTTATTATTATTAATTCATTTTATAGCTGGTTGAAGGTGTCCTACAAACCAAGTCTGGTGGTGAAGAAATTCTGCAGGAGTATGAAACTACAGAAACCTTAACTGATGCCACAAGAAGACAAATGGTGAACATACTGGTGGCTGACATGATTGATAAACATGGGTATGTTTGTTTTTACAATGTTTAATTTATGTAGGTATAATAATTGGAGAAAATGTTTAATCACCTATTTAAAATCTGCTGTTAGGCACCTCCCCACTAAAGCAATCAGAGAGAAGTATGCCTTTGGAATAGTGACACTCTTCCCATCCCTCAAGGATCCATACACCAAAAAAGGCTATGTAATGTTTTTTTTTGTTTGTTTGTTTCTACAATCAAACATGCTCTTTTATTTTATGACTCAAAACTGATTTTACATTTAATTTTTGTTCTCTTCTTTTTCTTACTTTTTAGGAGCACTTTTATGATGCAGCAAGCAGCACTGGATACATTTCATGGCGTCTTAAAACGGTCCTAAGGAAGATTCGAAGAGGATCTCTTGTGCCACTAAGCAGCACCAATTACACTTCATCTGGCGGCCCAAATATACAGAGAACTGTGATTGTTGAAAAACAACTTGATGGGAATGCCTGTCAGGAGGCCATATCTCTGCTTAACCACACCACAGACAGGTCCGTGATCTTTCAGAAGATGAGAGAGACTTTTGAGTACCGTCACAAGCTTATTAAAGATGCCAGTGGAAGAAATGATATTCTGGCAACGTTCAAGAGGTTCCTGGACACAAAAGGATTGGTAAGTGTTCAAGTGAGTTGTGAAAGTCTTTAAATGTGGATTTTTACCTTCTTATAATGATTTGATTTCTACATGTTATTAAAGATTGATCAAGACTTCAGTGTTCTGTTCAGTGAAGAAACCTCATCCAGACTGCTGCAGAAGTGGGATGTGATCTTCAAACCAAATGTCATCAAGGAGGCTAAGCGTTTAACTTCTACACCTGAGTTGAGAAGTTTGGTGCAATCAGCGGAAAGTCTTCATAGCGATGACCTCGCCAACACATCTAGTAAGTACCTAGATATATCTGAAGATAGTTGACTGTTCAGAGTACTCATAAAGTTCTGATATTATATCTGAAAACTTTTATAAATTTGTCTTCAGGCTATGACCAAGAAATGGCCTCGCTGTTACTTCTCTTACATCTCCTTCCACCGCAACCAGGAGGACAGAAGTCTCCAAAAATCAGTGCAAGTGATGCAGTTGAGAGACTTGTTGTCTTTCATAAGGTAATTTAAATTTAAAATATGCCAAATTATTTGTCTATTTCCTTTTATAGACATGTATA